TGCCCCCCCCTGCCCCTGCACACAGCCAGGATTTTTTTTTGGGGGGGGGGGAATAGGACTTGGCGTGATGTAGGGGGGGGGGACATGCAGCAGGGACAGGGTTACCCCCACCCCAGTGTGGGGCAGGAGGGGGACTGAGGGATGACGGTTTGCTTCCCTATAGGTTTGATTCAAGGGTGGGGGTCCCGCGTGGCTCCGCACCCTGTCCCGCTCCCCAGGCCATGAGATGCCACCGGGGCGCGGCGGCCGAGGGGACAGGCTATCAGCCCCATAACCCTTAACGGGGAGGGTTAAGGACACGCAGGGTCCCGCTCCGCATCCCCACAGCCCCCACGCGGGTTCAGCATCCCCAGAGAGGATGCGGGAAGGGGGCGGCCAGAGGGCATCTGTCCCAAAGCTGGACCCTGGGCCACCAAGATGTGACGCGAGGGGCCGTGTCCCGCTGTATTGGGGGGGGGGGTCCCACCCCCACTAGATGGTGCCAGCAGCCCACGCTTGCGGTGCCACCGCACCTGGGGTGACAGCGGTGGGGACAGCCACGCCTGCGGTGGCTTCTCCCACCCCAACCCCACAGAAACCCCTTCCCGAGGTGGGGTGGGAGAAGGGGGCAGAGTGGCTGCACGCCCTGAACCATTTTCTCCCCCCTTCTTTTTATAAGGATCCCACGGGGGTGGATGTGGGTGCCCATATCCAGCACCAGAGCTGGGGGCATCGTGGGGTGGCTCCCAAAAAGGGGGTGAGGCGAAGCCACGGTGCTGGGGAAACTGAGGCAGCGTTGGCCTGGGGCAAGCCCCCAGCACAGCTTCGGTGCCTCCATCCCTCCCGGCTGGGCTCAACCCCCAAATTTCCAGTTACCCTCTCAACCTCTCCGTTCTGCTTTCCCTTTGCAGAAATAATTACCAATACGGTGAATTGGTTTCATTCCCAAGTGACTAAATTACTTAGCAACTTAATTACCTAAATACCAATTTTCTATTACTATTATTTTTAGGCAATTTGGGATAACCAGTCGTGTGAGTAATTGGGTGTCACTTTATTGAATTAACGGGCACGCGTGGTCACAGCGGGGCACGGTGGCGTGAAGGCTCCTCTGGCTCCATCCACGTCAAACTCACCCAAAAGCTCATTCCCAGGATTTTCCTGCCTCCTTTTTAATCTGGATTTTCCAGGACTGACTTGATTTTTCGAGACAGCCAGGTGGGGGGAAGCACGGAGGAGAAAAAGGGGAATTTAACTGAACTTGAATCTCCGCTTTCTTGCCCCAAAACAGGTTGTTCTGGGGAACGGCAGACTTTTCCCACAAGCAATTTTTAACAGTTTATGGCAGAAATCCCCCTCTTTTCTCCAGTTCCCACCACACCAAGGACGACCAAGCCCCAGGACCAAGGTCAGCATCTCCCATCTCTTCAACCCCTGTGCTACGGGGATGAGCGGATGGGACCAAGGCCTCCCAGCTAAGCCGGTGACAGAGGACAAGGACAGCCACGTCTCCCTGCCGGAGCCAGTATCTTGCTATTAATTTTCCCCCCAAATCAGCCAAATTTAGAGATGCTACAGCCTCACTGGACAAGGAAACCTGCTCACGCCGCCGCTGCAGAGGAATCACCTCCTTTCCCCGTGACCCAATGGCTCTGCTCTCCCCAGACGACAAAAAAAAAATAAAGGGGGGAAAAATTATAGAAATTAATCAAGATTAAAAGGAAATAATCAAAATGACTGTTCTCCATGTCCCTCTGATCGCTGGGAAAGCTGCACGGGGAGGCAGCCAAGAGACCTTGCATGCTACGAGTGTGCCAGGTCTCAGCTGTCCTTCGGGATGGACCGCGGGGGAGCCGGGATGTCTCTTGCTCCATCCTTTCATCCCTGTGCCTGGGTGGGTGGCCCTGCATTTACCTCCCTCCTGCCCTGGGCTGCTGGGAAGGGAAACTGAGGCAGGGGGGACTTTCCCCTGGCTGGCACGGGGCACGCTCACACTGGGACCTGAGCAAATCCCACCCGGCGTTTTGGCATCCATCAGCAGGCGGAGGAGCTGGCAGTCAAGGAAACCTGG